CAAAACAGTTTTGATCAGTGACCTGACCAACAGAAAGAAGATTCATAGATAATTTAGGAACATAAGAGATATTAGGCACTGAAAAACGAGAATTGCATAGAGAACCCTCATGAGTGATATGGCAAGAAGTGCCATCAGTTGTCTGAATAGAAGCACCATTGGGGACAACCTTGCAGGCAACCAACTGGGAGTGATCAGATGTCACATGAAAAGATGCTCCAGAATCGAGGACCCAAGACTTAGGAGCATGGACAGGAGAGGCAACAGCGACATAAACAGACCCCTTTGTAGCAGAAGTCGTACCACGAGCCCGAGCAGCCCGGCGCGCACGATACTCAGCCAATTTTTCTGGATGCTGAGTAAAACAATTATCGTGACTGTGACCGGTCTTCCCACAATGCTTACAAGGATCCGGAGAGTCACCTCTGGGTGCACTAAGCCGTTGAGAAAATGTCCTTTGAGGAGCTGCCAAAACACTCTGTGATATAGACGACGGAGCAACTGACAGAGAATGGAGACGAGTCTCTTCAGCAATCAAATCAGATAATGCCTGTGCCATGGTCAGAGTAGAGGAGTTATGAAGCAATCGTGTACGAATGGACTCAAATTCTGCTCTGACTCCCATGACAAAACGATAAATAAAGAACTTCTCAACAAACTTATGTGCTGAACACTCCTTCGCCGAGCACTGAGGTACCATAGAGATCAATGGTCCCATCAAACGATCAAAAGCAGAGTAGTATTCATCAATGGACATGGAATTCTGTTCAATCACATGAATTTGTTGCAGAAGGGTGTGTAAGAGAGCACCACTATCCTGAACATAGCGCTGCTGCAAATAAGACCACATTCATTTGGCTGTCCGAAACGAAGAAAGGCTCATAATCATAGACTGTTTGACACTGTTGACTATGGCAGCCATCACTTTCCCATCATTAATCTGCCATACTTTGATTTCGGCAGCATTGCTATTATCGGCCTTCCTTTCGGGTCCATCATCAGTCAAGTGAAAGGCCAAACCGTAACCCCTTAACACGGTTTCAACAGAGAAAGCCCACTCCCGATAATTCTGACCATCAAGAGTAATATTGATAGCAATTCCATGAAGTTGCGACATGATTAGACAAACACGTAGTAACAAGCCTCGACGAAGTGTGAATGAAAGTGCTGCGACGGGCAGCGTTGGGGCACACAGTAGGCGAGTGACAACAAAAAAACAGAAATTGACGACGGTCGGGACATATTAGAGTACAAAAACCCTAACCCCGAAGAGTGACGGATCTGAAAATGCACAAAAAGAACACCAAAACCTCCCGAAACAGAAAACAAAGGACACTGGCAGCAAGAGCACAGAATTTCGAGTTCACGGATGGTCGCCGAAAAAAATTCCGGCCAGCCACGCGCCCTCACGCGCCGGCGCGTGGGATTGACAGCAGATTGTCCCGGCGGCGCGTGTGGCTCACACGCGCGGCTTCTGACGGCGAGAATTTGCCGGACGGTCGTTCTCGGGGCGGCGATTTTAATGGTGTGGGAGGTGAGATCGAAAAAAGATATTTATGTGTAAGGCTGTGATACCATGTTACAAACCTTAGGGTGGTTTTGGACAATGATCTAATCACAAGAGGAGGCCCCATATATATAGACTTAGGACATATGGGCTGTGGGCCTATAATATAACAGTTAACAAGAGTAATGTGCAAATGAATGTTTTATAACAGATTAAATGGCAGAAGAGGAAGAAGTAAGAAAGAGAATAATTATTTTGATTTTACTATTTCATTTATGATATTCATGTGTTACTGTTTGAATAAATAAAGTGGAACTTGGTTTTCTTCTATTGTCGAAAGATATTTGTGAATATTTACTAAGTTCGCTGAGATGTTAGCTCTTCATAATGACAAATGCATGTGGTTCAATAGGGTTACGGTATAGTGCTTTTAATTTTCTAGTAAATCGGATTACTATGATCCTTTAATAATATTTTATGTCTAAGAAATACATGCCGTTTGTGGAATTTAACTAGAGAGCATAATAAAGGAGTTGCTGCAAATATTTTTATTAAGTTCAATAATTATCTTAAAGCTAGAGTCAATTTGATCAGTAATTTCACTTACAACTTTCTATTGAATGCAGCGTTAGATATTTTCATGACATTGAAGAATGAGTTATTTGAAATTGCAGTTTCGGTTATTCAACAATTTAAAAAATACAGAGATTCTGTTGATTGTTAACTAGTCCTCCCTTATACAGGTGTCTCTGTCAACATGGGAGGATGGAAGCCTAGAACCCTGCCTAGATTATTCAGTTGAAGTTGATCCTTTGTTTGCTGGCGTCAGAAACCCATTTTCAGAAAAGAAGTGGAAGAAATTTCAACTATCCAGTATATTTGGCAACTCTGCTGCTGCCATCAAATTGCATGTTTTGGACTTGAACTTGAGTAAGGCGGGAACTAGATTTATTGATCGATGGCTTGTTGCGCTCAGCATGGGTTCTGGTCAAACTAGAAATATGGCACTAGATAGGTATGCCAGGGAATGAGACGTAAATTATTTTGATTTACAGTATTTTCTAACTTAATTGAAAATGAGTTCGAGGAACTAAAACAGCAGTCAGTTATCAACTATTTGATATAGTTGTTTGAGTGTGATTGCATGTTTTGCTTTTACCTGTCTGTTTACTTTGAGAGTATAGAGCCCTTAATTGATAATTCATTAAATTGAGACTAATCTATATTTGCAGATGGTTTTTGATTTCTAATACTTGGTATATTATTGTGAGGAGTAATCCTTTGTGAGCGATGAATGAGTTAATGTATAATGACTGAATGAAATGAATGAAATAAAACTTTAGATAGGTATAGAAATGAAATAATTTTATGTTTTGAAGTACTGAGGGAGTTTATAAATGTGAAAGCAAGCAATAGAAATGTTGTGTTTGTTCCCGAATTAGGATCTACGTTCAAAATTATATGCATGTTACAATTTCTAAACTTAATAGTAGTCAACTTTTAATATTTGAGCCAAATATTATATTAATCTTTAGATTTATAGGTGATCTCAATAGATCGATGTTTGTTGGAAGTGCTATTTTTATTAATTAGTTCCATTCAGTAGTCATTTGTCTCACAGTGTAATTAGAATTATGTTTGAATAGTGATTTGGTGAGTGATTTATTTGGCGTCATGTACACAGTTGACTGGAATTATAGGTTTCAATTATTTTATGTGGAAAATAGGAAACACAAATTGTCATTTCAATTGAAGATTTTCAAACATGGTTGCAATATGAATATGGATATCGTCCTTTGATCTTATTCTGGTAAAAGATAGATAAAAATGTTCAGTTCGGGAAATTGTTTTGTTTCTTTTGGGTGAACCTAGCATTCAGGAGTTCCTTATTAAGGGTGCTACATTTTATTGTAACATAATATTATATTTGTATAGTGCATATATTGATTGTATATGCTGCATTTTGTTGAGGTATGATCTAAAGGTCTGGCTTTGTTAAGTTGAATTTTGGGGGCATTGGAAATTAGTTCATTTCTGTTCTCTGTAAGGGTGGACTTATAGTGTATATTGAATTTTAAGTGCTGGTCATGGGGACGTGTGACCTGTTTGTCCCTTGTGGAGAGGGAATACTTCTTTAGTGTACTTTTCTGGAATTTCTGAGTAAAACAATAACAAGAAACCTATTGACTGCTAGAGTATCTATGCAAACATGAACTACAATTTACATTTTACAGGTCTCACGTAGTGCGCTCTACAGAAGTATGTCTTTCTTGTTCCTTTTCTATATGTTTTGGACAGGTCCTCACATGAGAGCTTTCTGGTGCATGATAGTTATCTTACCAAACTAATTATTTGTATGCACAGGCGGTATCTAGCTTACAACCTTACACCAGTTGCTGGAGTTGCTGCACATATATCACGAAACGGTCATCCTGCTGAAAATCATCCATCAAACTCCATCATGTCCCCCCTACCTCTGTCAAGCAGTATAAACATGCCAGTATCGGTGGTTGGATGTTTCTTAGTGCGCCATAATCGGGGACGTTACCTTTTCAAGTACCAAGACGGGAAAGCTGGTCAGGAGGTTGAGATTGATGCTGGGAGCCAGTTGATTGAAGCTTGGAATAGAGAGTTGATGTCCTGTGTTCGTGACTCTTATATTAAGTTGATATTTGAGATGCAAAAGTTACAGAGAGATCCTGTGACTTCTGTTGTGGATCCAAATTTACGCCGTTCCCTATGTGTAGTTTTGAGCGCTTATGGGGATGAAATATACTCTTTTTGGCCTAGATCGGACAGGAGAGCCCTGCCCAGGCAACCTACAAATGACAACGATCCAACTTCCGTGATGCTTCTTGGAGCAGACTGGGAATGCCTTATTGAACATGTTGTTAGGCCACTATATACTCGCCTTGTTGAGCTTCCTGTGTGGCATTTATATTCTGGAAAATTAGTTAAGGCTGCGGATGGTATGTTTCTTTCACAACCTGGAATTGGAGTCGGGGACAACTTGCTACCAGCTACTGTTTGTGATTTTGTCAAGGAACATTATCCTGTTTTTTCAGTCCCGTGGGAACTGGTTACTGAAATTCAAGCTGTGGGCATTACTGTAAGAGAAATCAAACCTAAGATGGTTCGAGATCTTCTTCGGGCTTCATCGCCATCTTTGGGTAGCTGGTCAATTGATACCTATGTGGATGTCCTTGAGTACTGCTTATCTGATATCCAACTTCTGGTCTCACCTGGATCTGATGAACTTCGTACAAGGGACTTCAATAATCCTGATTTTGGTTCTCAAAGTGAAGAGCATAACCATTCTTTTGTTGCATCAGGCATCAACTCAAATAGGCATGACATTTTTTCCTCTGCCTCCATCAATTCTGGAGGAGATGCGGTTGAAATGATGACTAGCTTTGGGAAGGCGCTGTTTGATTTTGGCCGTGGAGTTGTTGAAGATATAAGTCGGGCAGGAGGTTCGTCATCTCTGAGCGGAGGTAGCAGTTATGGATCATTTAGAAGCGAGGACCAGATACTGGTTCATTTGTCTTCTGAAATCAAAGGTTTACCGTGTCCAACGGCAAATAATAGTCTCATTAAGTTGGGATTTTCTGAAGCTTGGGTTGGGAAAAGAGAGGAGCAACGCCTGCTTACTTCTTTAGCAGGGAAGTTCATTCATCCAGAAGTGCTGGAGAGGCCAGTCCTGCAACAAATCTTCTCTCAGTGCTCTATCAAATCAGTCTTAAAACTGGAAGTTTTCTCTCTTCGATTGCTTGCGCGCCATATGAGATATGTTTTTCCTGAAAACTGGACAAGTGATGTAATTGACTCAAAAAGTGTTCCCTGGTTTTCGTGGAAGGAGTCTACAAGTTCTGGTGGAAACGCAGATCCTTCTCCTGAGTGGATTAGACTTTTTTGGATGATCTTTGGTAGCTCATCGGAAGATATCTCTCTGTTTTCCGATTGGCCACTTGTTCCTGCCTTTCTTGGTCGCCCAATCTTATGCCGTGTGCGAGAGCGTCATCTTGTTTTTGTTCCACCCCAAATTAGGCATTTGGATTCTTTTAGTGCTAATTCTGCTGTAGGTCCATCTGAAGTTGGTCAACCTGAATTTTCTTCCGAGTCTTGTGAGGTTCAATCGTACTTGTTGTCATTTAAATTTATAAAGGAAAAGTACCCTTGGTTATTTTCAGTTCTTAATCAATACAATATTCCAATCTTTGATGTTAATTACATGGATTGTGCTCTTCCAACCAAGTGTTTACCAGCAGATGGGCAGTCACTAGGGCAAATCGTAGCATGCAAACTCGTGGCAGCCAAACGAGCTGGATATTTTCCTCATCTCCCTTCTTTTCAGTCTTCTGATCGGGATGGGCTCCTCAGTTTATTTGCTGGTGATTTCTCGTCCGCTAACAGTTATGGAACCGAAGAGCTAGAAGTTCTGCATGATCTTCCTATTTATAGAACAGCTCCTGGGACATATACCACACTAAGAACCCAGGATCTGTGCATGATATCCTCAAACACGTTTCTCAAGCCATCTGATGAACGGTGTCTGTCACACTCTACAGATTCTACTGAAGGCTCTTTACTTCGTGCACTTGGAATCCCTGAATTCCATGATAAGCAGATTCTTGTAAAATTTGGATTGCCTGGATATGAACACAAACCTCAGTTTGAGCAGGAGGATATATTGATTTACCTGTACACAAACTGGAATGATCTTCAGTCCGATTCATCTGTAATAGAGGTGCTTAGAAATACCAATTTTGTGAAAACAGCTGATGAACACTATGAAATCCTGTGTAAACCCAAAGATCTACTTGATCCAGGTGATGCAATATTGACGTCTGTTTTTTCTGGAGAGAGGAAGAAATTTCCAGGAGAGAGATTCATTTCCGAGGGTTGGCTTCAGATTTTGAGGAAAACGGGTCTCCGAACTTCGGTCGAAGCAGATGTTATTCTTGAGTGTGCTAAGAGAGTGGAGTATCTTGGAGGTGAATATAAGAAGCAGGCAGAAGTACACGATGATGTTGACTTATGGAACCCACAAAATGAGGTGTCTTTTGAGATTTGGCTGTTGGCTGAAACTCTGCTCAAAACAGTCTTTTCTAACTTCGCGATACTATATGGAAGCAACTTCTGCAATCTCCTAGGCGAGATTGCTTGTGTTCCAGCTGAAAGGGGATTTCCAAATATTGGTGGTAGAAGAAATGGGAGTAGAGTTCTCTGTTCATATTCTGAAGCTATAGTGATGAAAGATTGGTCTCTTGCTTGGAGTTCAGCACCTATTCTTTCTGTGCCGAGTGTCATCCCTCCAGAATATGCCTGGGGGCCACTACATTTGTCAAGTCCTCCGGCATTTTCTACTGTGCTTAAGCACCTTCAGGTACGGTTAGACCTAGGGGTGGGCATGGTGCAGTTTGGATGTTTTTCCACTGTAAACTGAAGTGCTTATTGCGGTTTGGATAAGAGTTTAATTTAAAACCAAGCCTTTTTTCCATAGAGTTAAGAATGCTGTTTGGAATTGTTTGGGCAGTTTGGATCAATTTAAATTTCAATTATCACTGTAATTGTATAGTTTAGGAACGGTAACACGTAAAGATGAAATAGAAAAATAACATTACTAAGAAAAATTCAGCCACTCTGTACAAAATTTGTGTGTTTCACAAATGTCATGCGTTTATATGTGGCGTATTTTAGTGACAATATCTACTTAAAAGGTTGTTTGGGGTTCTGATCAATTGACTAATTTTTGGTAGGTTTTACAGCTGTTGCAAGCTCCATAAATTATTAACATTTTAAAAAGTATTATAACACATTTATTTTGATAGTGTGTTTAAATTTAATTAATGCTTAATGCCAAAGGATAGACTTATAAGATATGAAGATATGTAAATATATATTAAATATAATACAAGAGTGGTTTGGTCGGTACGGTTCCAACTAAATTTTAATTCGTATTTTCCATATGGTGTGATAAATTTCAGTCATGGTCTATTCGTTAAACTGTAATTCGGTGCAATTCGATTTAAGTGTTTTTTTCTTTTTTAAATTTAAGCCCATCCCTAGCTGCGTCATGTTGAATGTTGATTTGAAACAACTCACTTCAAATGACATTCATGCTGCAAATTCTACAGTCTATTGGAAGAAATGGTGGTGAGGATACTCTTGCTCATTGGCCTGCTGCGTCAGGTATACAAACAATTGACGAAACTTCCCTTGAGGTTTTGAAGCATCTGGATAAGATCTGGCCCACCCTCTCTTCTTCGGGTAATCCAGTTCTCACTGTGTATTCCGGTATATATGCGCATGACGTTAATGATCAATCTCTTTATGTATACGTGAATTGTGTGTGCTTGGTTGTGCACTTAAATGTTGTCTCAGATTTTATCAAGTCTGTCAGATTATTAACCTTTTCAAATATAATTTCACCTTTTATTTTATGAGTAATTAAAGCAAAACATGTGTCTGCATCAGAAACATTTTGATTGTTTAGCCTCTTTCAGCTGTTTTTGTAGACAAAATTTTGTCTGTCTTTGAAAAGATATATTTTCACATTATGTGTAGTCTACTTAATGCTGTATACAAATATTTAGGCTTGATAATATTCAATTAGTTGATGTAGAGTGAAGTAAACTATTGTATTTACAATGTATGGGTACAAAGTACACAAATTTTATGAGTTTAGCAGCAGCCAAAGAAGGAAAATCAATATTACGGCTAACCAACGGTATTACATTCATCATGATATCTTAATAGTTACCATGTGTATACATTAGTCAACTGTATTTTTTCAGTCAAATAATTCAATACACTGACTGTAAAATGTTTGGATGGTTCTTAGGGTTAAGCAACTCTAAAATCAAGTTGTTCTGGATAAATTTGACTTGAGCGGGGTCTATGTTTATGTATGTGCTGTGAACATATGTAGAAGGAAAATGTTTTTTTTTTTTTT